TTCGAAATTGGTTCGTAATTTTAACGAACCAATTTTAAAAATAACTAGAATATATGTTGTCTGCTGAATCTTCTGCTAATAATTTTTAGGTAAAGAATCATGAATATGCAAAAATAAATTGGTTCATAAAAATTAGGAAAATTGCGGTTTCGAAAGCTACAATATTCTAGTTAGGCTAGCCGCAGGGAAGCATATAGGCATCTCTGTTACCTTTTCAAACAACAAAGACGTTAATATAGCTTTTATTTTATGTCACTTTTGATATAGCATGTTTTCTCATAATCAAAGATAAACATAAAAAACAGATCATTTTTGAGGAATTTCGCAACAACAATAATAATGGTTGAATTCGGTATCCAAAATACATTTTCCTCCATACTGGAAACCTCTCACTCCACACATTAACCTGCAATTACGGTCATCAATTCTTGCCGTACATGGCTGAATACATTGAAATGCCCTTCCTAATTGTTTTATCTCTGCACATATAAACACATACATAGATTAACGAAATTTTCATTTTGTATCTACATTGAAAAAACAATTTTTAAAACCAATGTTCATGAATCTTCTATAATTTCATCGATGTTTTATTGTTTTTGATAAAAGCTAGTTAATGGAAAAGAGTTAAAAATGTATATACCTTTGCCTAGAGCGTTTTGGTTGGACATAGAAACAGCCAAAATGACTACAAGAAAAAAAGTTATGAATTTTTTTGTGAAACCCATTTTGTTTTGTTTTTCTTTTCCTTTGTAGAAACCAAATTGATCTACAATTTTCAAGAACTTGAATAAGCCTTAAATATTTATAGATCTTTCAGTCTTTAAACTGAACTCATAAAACTCATTATTTTGGAATTTAGGGTTTGAATTTTTTTTAATTTGTGTCATTTTGGAAAATGGACAATTCATGATAATATTTTTGGTAAATAATATTTTAAAAGTGGCATTTTTGAAATTCTCCCTTAGTTTTTTCCACAAATAATCTTTATATTTTACTATAAATAAAATATTTTGGGATTGAACACGTATTATTTACTTACACAAAAGAATCTCAATATATTTTTGTTGTTTCCTAGTTTCTTACCATAAAGAGTTATTTCATATTTGTCTTTTTTTTAAAAAGAAGTTATTTAATATTTGTCAACAATGACTTATTACACTGGGATTTAAAGTGAATTTGAAAAAAAACAATGACTTATTTTAAATGTAAAAAGGTTGAAAGTATTAACATAAATAAAAGTTCAAAAAAAAAAGTATTAACATAAATATTGGATTGACCACGTATTGTTTTTTTATTTTTTGCTAAAAAGT